TTATTTGTGCCTCTGTTCAATGGATATTATTTCTATGGTTAAGTCATCATTGAATGTACAAAGAAGAGTTGGCCTGGTTAATCCTTCCTAAGCACCAGCCCTGCAGTGGGGAGAGTGGTTACCAGGTGCTCAGGGCCATCTGTCTAGACAGAGAGCCCTGCTGAGATACTCAGGCCATCATGAACTCGGAGGACCAGAGAGAAAACATGCCCAGGGCAGGCACCTGATTAATAATTTGAGATTAAAATAATGGCATAAAGAGTGACTGACCATTTACATACTAATTTTGATATATTTGTTCTTAAAGAAATACAATACCAAGGCACAAATTAGTTTTCTTTTTAAAACCTCAATTATCAGTAATTTTGGTCAATATTCTTTAGCCTCGGATTGCTTCTCAACTCCAGGAAGGATTCTCTCTGGCTTCACAGAAGGCTTCCAAGGGAAGGCAGCTCTGGCCTTCTGGCTGCAGGGCTGGCTGCTCCAGGTTCAAGTCAGGAAGCCCCAGAACCCTGATACTTCTTTTCTGAAATAGGCACAGATCTTTGAAAGCCAGACTTTTCTGCCTGTGTGTAAAGCACTGAAGAGAGGGGGGACAAATCCTCCCCTCTTTTCTCCCTTCTTCTAAGTAAACCCAACTTTTCTCCTCGTGTTTAGACCCAGACAACACCCCCACTCTAAACCCTGGCCTTTAAAAGATGTCTAGGCTTTTCAACAAATGGTGTTGAGAAAACTGGATATTCACGTGTAAAGGAATAAATTTGGACCCTTACCTTATGCCATATACAAAAATTAACTCAAAATGGATCTTACAACTAAACTTAAATAAATAAAAATAAATACATAAATAAACTTAAGGACTAAAACTATAAAACTCTTAGGAGCAAACGTAAGAGAAAAGCTTTACGACACTAGATTTGGCAATGATTTCTTGGATATGACCCCAAAGCACAAGGCAAACAAAGGAAAAAAATACATAAATTGGACTTCATCAAAATTAAAAACTTCACTGCATCAAAGGACACAACCAACAGAGTGGAGGGGCAACCCACGGAAAAGGAGAAAATATTTGTAAACCATATATCTTTTTTTTTTTTTAAAGATTTTATTTATTTATTTGACAGAGAGAGACACAGCGAGAGAGGGAACACAAGCAGGGGGAATGGGAGAGGGAGAAGCAGGCTTCCCGCGGAGCAGGGACCCCGATGCGAGGCTCGATCCCAGGACTCTGGGATCATGACCTGAGCCGAAGGCAGACGCTTAACGACTGAGCCACCCAGGCGCCCCTGTAAACCATATATCTGGTAAGGGGTTAATATCCCAAATATACAAAGAACTATAGCTCAACAACAAAAAGACAAACAATTTGATTAAAAAATGAGCCAAGGGCTTGTATAGACATTTCTCCAAAGAAGACGACATGTAAATGGTCAATAAGCACAAGAAAAGATCAACATCACTAATTATTAGAGAAATGCAAATCAAAAGCCCAATGAGATATTATCTCACACCTAGTAGGATGGCTGCTATCAAAAAACAAACAAAACCCCAAATAACAGTATTGGTGAGGATGTGGAGAAATTGGAACCCTGTGTACTGTTGGTGGGAATGTGCCCCGCTATGGTGAACAGTATGATGATTCATCAAAAAATTAAAAATAGAATTATTATGTGATCCAGCAATTCTGCTTCTGGGTATATAGCCCAAAGAATTGGAAGCAGAGTATCCAAAAAGAGATGTTTGTATGCCCATGTTCATAGAAGCATTATTCATAACAGCCGTAAGGTAGAAAGAACCCAAGTGTCTATCAACAGATGAATGGTTAAAAATGTGGTATATACATACAGTGGAATATTATTCAACCTAAAAAGGAAGGAAATTCTGACACAGCCTATAATAAGGCTAAGCCTTGAGGGCGTTGTGCAAAGTGAAATAAGCCATTCACAAAAGGACAAATGCTGTATGATTCCATGTATATGAGGTACCTAGAGAAGTCAAATCCATAGAGACAGAAAGTAGAACGGTGGTTGCCAGGGGCTGAGGGTAGTAGAGAGTTATTATTTAATGGGTACAGAATTTCAGGGTTGCAAGATGAAGAGTTTGGAGTTGCATGACACTGTGAATGAACTGAACACTTACTGAACTGTACCCTTAAAAATGGTTAAGATTGGGGGGCACCTGGGTGGCTCAGTGGGTTGAACATTTGACTCTTGGTTTCAGCTCAGGTTGTGATCTCAGGGTAGTGAGATCTGGCTTCAAGCTCAGTGGGGAATCTGCTGGGTGGGGGGAGTCTGCTCAAGATGGGGCGGTAGTTTGCTGGAGATGCTCTATCTCCCTCACCCTCTGCCCCTCCCCTTGCCCCCACAGGCATGCGCACGAGTGCATGCATAAATCTTAAAAAAAAATGGTTAAGATGGTAAATGTTATATGTGTATTTTACTACAAAAAAAAAAAAAGTTTATAAGCTTGTCCTCTTTCAGAATGTAATCTGACGGGAAAAAATCCCAAGGCCTCATATGATTTGCTGAATTTTAAGAAATACTTAAGGCACTTTAATTACCATATACTTATGTGATTGACTAAGTTGACAAATTCAGCATAGGACTAAGAATTTGCTAAGGATAGTCCCTAGGCTAATAGATAACGTGCAGAGTTTGTTAAGGTGTTTATATTTAGGGAAAATGTTTTAAGGTGATTTTAATATTTAGAAAGTCTCAGCATTCAGTTATGATAATGAAAAGTGAGATTCTAGGGTCCATAAAACTAACTTTATGGTAAGAAAAGTTTTTTTATTTTTTTCAGGGGTAACACATTAATTTTCTGTTATAAAATTAATTTGTGTTTAATAAAAATGTGGAAAGATTAAAAATAAAGCAATTCCCACCACCCAAATTTAACTTTATTTCCTTTCCAGTCATTTCTCCACACACAGGTTTAAAAAAGATATAGTTTGGTCATATTGCATATGATTAGTAACCATTATTTTAAAAGGCTGTGTATCTAATAGACTGAAGAGTGTATACATTTTTGTTTAATTTCTACTTCTTTATTTTTGGAAAATTCAGGAGTTTCCAGGATATTTTCCCCTTTATTATAGTATATTTTGGTACATTATAGTATATTTTCCTTGTTATTAAATAAGTTAAAATGATATGTTAAAATTAAAATCTTTGTTCATAAAGAGTATTTTCTACATTACAGATAATTTCCTTTGGATTTATTGTCATAGAGTTCAAAAGGTTTTAGGAATTTTGATACATTTGAAGGGTTTTGATATTGCCAAATTGTTTACCTACCTAAGAAGTTGTGTGTGAGTGCTATCACACTTGCCAGTCTTTAATGCCATTTATTTTTTATTTTTATTTTTTTTAAAACGAAGTTAGTCACTTTTTTAAAAAACGATTTTATTTATTTTAGAGGGAGAGAGCATGCACATGCAAGCAGGGGGAGGAGCAGAGGGGGAGGAAAAGGGAGGGGGAGAGAATCTCAAGCCAACTGCTCACTGAGCACAGAGCTGGATGCTGGACTTGATCCCAGGACCCTAAGATCATGACCTGAGCTGACATAGAGTCAGATGCTTAACCAACAGAGCCACCCAGGCACCCCTTTAATGTTATTTATTAACTTCTGCCAATTTCGTATATGAACATCCTATGTTCTTATTTCACTTTGCACTTCTTTAAGCTTTCTGCAATATGTTTCCTAATTGTGTATCCCAACTATTTTTTTATTGAATTCTTTATTCATGTGTCTTGCTCATCTGCAGCTGGCTTCTAACGTTTTCTTATTTAATCCATATATAACAATAAATAACACTTTGCATGGTAGTGCCTGCAAATACTTTTCCTAGTCTATTGCGTCTCTTTACATTTTGACTGTTTTTATTGATGTTTCTAATGTTCCTGTGATTATATCTGCCTTTATTTTTGTTTGTGTTTTCAGGTGACTATGTTGTTTGTGTAGAAAGGGGTTAAGAGTAAGTGACAGTGAACCTACATTATTGTCCACTAGTGTCATTTAGAAATAAGGTAGGAACTGTTATCTCATTCCTATCCCTGAGTCTGCCACTACCTGAGCTGAGTTGTTACTCTATCACTCCCTCTGCGAGGCTGAGGGTTCCCAGAAAAAAATACAGGATGCCCAATTAAAATTGAATTTCAGATAAACAACTAATACTTTTATTCAGTGTAAGTATATCCCAAATATTGCATGTGCCATACTGATACTACGAAAGTATTAGTTATTCATCTGAAATTCAATTTTAATTGGGCACTGTATTTTTATTTGATACATCTGGCACTTCTACTTGGAGCTCGTTTATTAACACCATCCTGTACTAGGCGGTGGGAGTGGGGATGGTGAGAGCTGAAAGAGAAGATAGTTCCTTTCTCAGAGTTTATGCTCTGATTTCTCAGAGAAATTAGCAATCAGAAAGATAATCTCCTGGACTATTTCAGTGACGGCTGGATTAAATTTAGAGCCTCTCTGTTTTCCTGCTGCCTAAGGCAGAGTTATCCACATTGACCTGATCATAGAACCACCTGAGACAACCCTCCCCTGGGGAGTCTGATCACTTTGGTTTGAAGAGGGATCCAGATGCCTCTGTTTTTTTTTTTTTTTTTTTTTAAGATTTTATTTATTTATTTGAGAGAGAGGGAATGAGAGACAGAGAGCATGAGAGGGAGGAGGGTCAGAGGGAGAAGCAGACCCCCCGCTGAGCAGGGAGCCTGATGCGGGATTCGATCCCGGGACTCCAGGATCATGAACTGAGCCGAAGGCAGTCGCTTAACCAACTGAGCCACCCAGGCACCCCAGATGCCTCTGGTTTTAACAAGAGCCCAGGTGACTGTCTGGCTCAGGTAGGTCTGTGGAACTCTGGCAGGCTCGGCGTCCTCTGAGCAACAGCGCTCAGCCGAAGTCACTTCCACTTTTTTACAACCCATTCGAAATCACTGGTACACATTTTGCAGTGGTGATAATCTCTGTAAATTGCTTTACAGGTGATAACGTTCATCCCATTCGGTCTGCACTCTGAATTCTCGAGGAAAGCAGGGAAGCTTATTTCCGCTTGACGGAGGAGGGCAGGGAGGCTCCCCGGGGCTAAGTTCACGCGGCCAGCCCGTCAAGCAGCCCGCCGCAAAGCCCGCCTTCCTTCCACCCCGCCAGGCTACCTCCTCTCGCCTCCGGAGCGTCCGTGGGGACCACTGGGCTGGAGTTAGAGCCCACCTGGAGTTTCAGGTGACTTCCGCTCCAAACGTGCGGGGCAGCCCCGGGCCTGCAACTAGCAAACGGATGGGGGAGAGGCCGGCGCGCCGCTCAGCGGAGAAACCCGGAGCCCCGGCGCGGGCGAGCGAGGGAGGCCGGGGGGCGGCCCCCAGCCCGCCGGAGCCCCGCACCCCCGGCGCGCCGCTCCCGCAGGGCCGCCCGCTTCCGAGCCGGGCCGCCTGCAGCCGGGGGCGCGCGGGCGCGGCGGCGGGGGCGCGCTCCGAGCACGCGCGCGGGGCCGGTCCTCCAACCGCCGCTCCCGGGGAAGAGGGCGGCTTCCCGGGAAGCCGGCCGCCGCCGCCGCCGCCGGGACTCGGAAGTGCCGAGAGGGTTGCTGGGGACTCGTGGCGCGCGTGAACGCCGCGGTCGCTGCCCGGGACAGCCCGGAGGTTGGTAGCGGGGCCGTAGCGGGTCCCGGGGAGGTTAAGTGCGGACTTTCCGTGGCGTACCCGCTTGAGAGCCAGAAATTCTCCAGGCGCTTTCCGCTTCCTACCCCGGCTCCTGCGTGCGCGCCCGGGGGGCGGGGCAGACGAGGCGCCCGGTCCCGCCGTGGAGACAAAGGGCCGAGCGCCCCGCGCCGCGCCGCGCTCCGGGCGAGGTGGCCGGGCTCCCGCAGGCCGGGCCGCGTCCGCGCCCGCGCCCGCCAGCGGCCTCTCCCCGGGCTTGGTCCCCAGTTTCCGCTGGTCCCCTGGGCGGTGTCAGAAGTGCGCCGGTCCTACTGCTGCGGCTCCAGTGACCCCCGAAGTTATTGATTTTGCTTTCTACTCTTCAGACTCAGTTGCCCTCTTTTCTTCAAAGTCTAGCCTGCAGGTGGCACCGGTCTCCGGCCTTGGTGTTAAGAAAAGTGCTGCTTCCTTGGTTCGTGGCTTTTGGATCAGAGCAGTCCTGCTAGGGGTTGGCGTCCTTGGTGGTTTGCATTTTATGGGGATGAGACTCGCTGTTTCTGTCTCTTTCGGGGTGGTGTTCCTCATTCATTCATTCATTCATTCATTCACAGAGCTAAGCACATAGGTGCTGTCAAGTGCTTACTTGATAAAGTGCTGTGGGAACAGGAGGGGAAGGCTTCACTGAGGAGGTGATGGTTCTTATACTGGAATTTGAAGAACAAGTACAGTTTTGTTTTGTTTTTTCCTTCCATTCTTCATGCTCCATCTTTCCTAGAATTCTCCCTTTTTTCTCTGTGGCAGTCCCTAACTGTGATTAGTATAGAATAAGGACAGTCCGTTCTGACCTGAAGGATTCAACTAATATTAACAACGATGATGTGCTTGTCAGGTGCTTTGGACCCATTATATCTAAACCTTACAATCACGGGGGAGGGTAGGTGGTGTTATCCCCTTTCATAGCGAAAAAAGAGAGGAGATGCTAAAGGCACAAACTAGTAAGTTTCAGGGCTGAGTTTTACACTCCCTTTTCTGGATCAAAGCCTTTGCTGTTTCTACTATTTATTTTGCTCCCTCCTTGGGAAGCAGGTTAGACAGACTAATTTAGGGTCAAGGCGGAGTCTCTGGAGGGAGCAGTCATCGTGGGAGGCTACGTGGTGGTAGGAACTCTGTAGGTAACATCAGAACTAGACAGCCTAGGCCTTATTAGTGTTTCCTGCTTGCAGCTCAGGGCCTGGCCAAGGGGAGGTGCTCTTTAATTGTTGCTTTGGAGTGAGTTCCTTCTCTTGCCTTGATTCCTTGTAGGGTTTTTAAGAGAGAGAGAGAGACTGTGTGTGTGTGTACACACACGGACCTCTTTGGAGTCTGGGGAAGCCAATTTTTAAAAGGCATTAAAAAAATAGTTACAAGGGCGCCTGGGTGGCTCAGTTGGTTAAGCGACTGCCTTCAGCTCAGGTCATGATCCCAGAGTCCTGGGATCGAGTCCCGCATCGGGCTCCCTGCTCTGCGGGGAGCCTGCTTCTCCCTCTCCCACTCCCCCTGCTTGTGTTCCCTCTCTCGCTGTGTCTCTCTCTGTCAAATAAATAAATAAAATCTTTAAAAAAAAAAAAGTTACAAATTACATTGAAACACAATTATCAGAATAGTGTAACAAACCCCCAAATTTGTGGAAAGAGTATTTCGTTTTATTTAATGCATTAAGTAACAAAATTCAGTGCTATATCAAATAACTCATAATTTCGAAGTAGCGATGCCCATGTAAATGATATTTCCCAGTATTTGCAACAGCTGCACTGTGTAACGAAAGTATCTGACTTCAATTGGTGACAAAGTTGCCAGAACAGCTCCTTCTAGTAATGTTTGTTGTCCATATTTATAATAAATCCTACATTTGTTTTAGAGGTTCATGAAAATAAAGCTGTATGAGAGCATTTATAGGTTTATGGCCCCCTGAATTCTACCTACGGATGCCTTGGGGGTGGAGGGGTGGGTATCCTAGGTTACAAACTCTACTTAGTGGTTGTTTTTCTTCTGGTTTTCTTCTGAGTACTTGCTGGCCACCCTAGAGCATTACAAATACCTGTTTCCTTCTATTTCAGTTAGTAGCTCCTTTTACTCAGGTTCAGTTATTTCTGGTGATAAAAGCTGTTGAGAGGGAATTGCTGAATTGTTTATATACTCTACTTGCTCTGCTCCTTCTGTGGATAATTCTGCTGGAGAGAATTTTTGTGATAATGGCTGTGTGTCACATAGTGCAGGAGAACTCTTTTTTTTTTTGAGAGTGGGAATGAACCTTAATGGAGTATATTACCAGTGCCAGAGAAGAAAAAGGTGTTATCAATATATATATCCCATAGACATTTAAAAGATTTTAAGATGTTATCGTGAACAATTTTGGTAATATGTTGGAAAATTCAGATGAAATGGACACTTAAAAAAAAATAAAACCCCTTAACTAAGACATAGGAACTAGAAAAGGAGAATAGTCCTGTATCTATTAAAGAAATTAAATTTGTAGTTAAAATCCTTTCCAAAGCAAAATTTCCAAGCCTACATGGTTTTGTAAGGGAAATAGTCCATTTAAAAATTGAAAAAGAGAAAACACTCCCTGGCTTCTCTTATGAGGCCAGCATAAGCTTGTTACTAAAGCTTGATGAGGACATTACAAGAAAATTACAGGCTCACAAAAAATACGTGAAAGTCTTAGCAATGATGTATTGGTAAATCAAGTCTAACATTCTATAAAAAGGGGACTAAACCATGACCAATTTGGACTTATTCTAGGGAGGGAAAATTTGGCGAATATCAGAAAATCAAATGTAATTTAACCACATACACATAAAAGGGAAAAATATTTTGACAGAATTCAACACCGATTCATGATAAAAACTTTTTGCAAGCTAAAACATTATTGGCAGAAATTAAAGATTTAAAAAATGGAGGGTATGTCATTGCTCTGCAAATAAGACTATAGGTTTAGTACAATCCCAATCATAATCCCAGCAGATGTCTTCTCAAAAATAGAAGTTGATGGGCCAATTCTAAAATTTATTTGGAAATTCTAAATAATCTAAGAAAAAGCAAATTCGGATGACTAGATCAATACATAATATGCTAATATGGTATTGGCGCAATGCTAGATAGACCATGGAACTGAGCATCCATAATCAGGCTCACATGTATGTGTGGTTTGTGCCAAAAGTGACACCATAGTGCACTGGAGAAACGATGGCCTTTTCAGTAAATGATGCTGGGCCAACTGGATCTCCATGTGGACAAGATGAATCTTGATCATCTACCTCATCCCATATACAAATATTAAGATATGTTACACACCTAAATGTGAAAGCTGAAATAATAAAGCTTCTGGAAGAAAGCAAAGTAAAATATCTTTATTACCTAGGGACAGCCAAAATTTTATTGAACAGGACACAAAAAGCAACTAATTATAAAGGAACAAGATTGGTAAGAACTTCTGTTCATTTAAAGGTTCCATAAGGAGAGTGGGAAGCAAGCTACAGAATGGGTGAAGATATTTGTAATACATATATCCAATACAGAAATCCTACCCACAATGTAGAAACGACTTCTACAAATCACTAAAAATATGGACAGCCCAATAGAAAAATGGGCAAGTTACTTCCTAAAAGAGGATATCCAAATTCTTAAACACATGAAAAGATGGTTAACCTCATCAGTAATTAGGAAAATGCAAATTAAAGTGAGAATGGGCTACCACTATATAGTCACCAGAGTGAGTGCTAAGTATATACAGGCTTCCCCTGCTCTCCAAAAGCAGAGCATTCCCGTGAAATCTTTCGAAAGCAGAAATGGTGTGAAGCAAAGAAGCAATTACCATTAATTTATATGGAAAAATTTTGAGCATTCCCAGACCCCAAAAATAACCCCTCTTAAGCTTTTCTAATATCTTAGGATACATCTCGCTGGTAGATGCGGAGAATAAATGAAGACTAAGCACAGATACTCACAGACACTGTTCAGGGTCTCTGGTGATGTGATGCTGAGATCCTCAGTGTAGTTCCCCGGGAAGGAGCTCGGGGCCACTCCTCTGCTTGGGATGTGTGCTGCCTCCTTAAGGACTGGCTGCAAAACAAATATTGAGTGCCATCTTCTCCTCTTGCCGCCCCCCTTTTTTTTTGTAAAAGTGAAAATCTTCGCATTTCTTTTGGTTAACAAAAATAGCCACGAAAGTCGGTCTTTTGTAAAAAGTGAAGTGGCATAACCTGACCTTTCAGAAAGTGGGGGATACCTGTCCTGGTTGGGTTATGGGCAAACTGGAACTCTCATACATTGCTGATGCAGCTGTTCTGGAAATTGGTGTATCATTTACTATCATTTACTAAAGCTGGACATAGATCTCTCCTATGACTCCATTCTTGGATAAACACAATAGTAAAGGCATATGGGCACTGAAACTCATGTCAGTCAGTGTACAGAACACTATTATTCAAAATGGCCCCCAGTTGGAAACAACCCATATGTTCATCAGTAGTAGAATGGATAACTGCATAGTTTATACAATGGACTACTCTTTAGTAATGAGAATGAACAGTTTATTGTCTCACATAC